CGAAGATAGACCACTTCAAACATTTTTCCAACTCTACGGCCTATTCCAAGAGTCTCCTTGGTCTGCAGATCCTGCACAAGACAACCAAATGGAGAAAAAAGAACATATGAGCCAGAGTCACAAAGTTGACTAATTGAAACAAGGATAACCGACAAACTGGGGACGTGAACGATATTATGTAATGATAGGTGAGGAGTGGATACATGGCCACTAAAGGTAATTGGTAAGCGAGTCCCATCGACGGTACTAACAGATGGATGGAAATGAGATGGTAGTTTAGTAGTAAAGATATCAGATAAAGGAGTCATGTGGTTGCAACAACCGGAATCAAACAACCACGTGTTACCTGAAGATGATCCTGGTTCATTTGTTCCCATGGAACCTGACATGATACGTTCCATCAGCTCTTGGTTCTTCCGCATAAGCTCAATGAGATCATTATTAGATGTTGTGACGATAGTAGTCGTACTGGACATTTCAGGTGGAATGGATCCGGTAACTGTGTTTGGTTTGAAGGGTGGACGATAGGACCCAATATTTCGAGGATTCTTTGGACAATCAGAACCATAATGTCTTGGGTGTTTGACATTGCAACATTTGCACGAACGAATATGACAACTGAGAAGTAGATGTGCTGGTGATTTGCAGAAGGAACACTCACTAGTATTCCATTTTGTTGCAAATTTTTGATCATGTGGTTTGCCTTTCAGACCAGAGAAAGGAACATGTAGCACACTCTCGGATGATACCGGAAAACGAGTACGAATTCGATTTTCCTCACTTATCAACTCTGAAATAGCTGCATCAAGTGTAGTAAGAGGATACCGATGAAGTAGAGATGCCCGTACATTCTCAAATTTATCAGTGAGGCCCATTAGTAGTGTGATAAGATGAAGCTGACTAAAGTAAGATCTGAACTTGTCAGCTGTCTCATCAAAAATTTGTGGAGCAGCATCATTCAGTTGATCTTTAATGACTTGCATATCTGAGACATATTGACTGACAGATTGATCTGGTTGCTGTCGTTTGCTTTAAAATGCAGACCATAAATGATATTGATGAGAAAGTCCAGTGGTAGTGAAACGTTTGGCTAATAAATCCCATACTTGTTTTGCAGTCGTATATCCAAGAAATTGTTTATGAACATATGTAGTAGTGGAAGAATTAAAGAAACCCAAAATTTTTGGCATTTTTGATATCCCAGTCATCAGTCCGTTTAGCAAATGCAACATCTGTTTCATCTGTGTTCTTCACTGGGGCTGTAGTCGTGCCCGTGACATAACTGTAAAGTCCAAGGGACTTTAGATGGATGGTCATATGATAATGCCACATCACATAGTTGGTACCATCAAGAACTACGGATATTGGGCGTGTTTGTACAGAAGTGGAAGTAGCTAAATTCATAATGTAATTTGAGAAATAAAAGGAAGAACGTGGTTACTGTATGAGGACACTTCGAACCAGAAATTGATATGGATGAAAGGGCTTCTGCGATTTCACAGTTGATTGATCATTGACCTTTTTATAGTTGAATTTCGTGAAGCATTTTCAATTTTGAGAACCGAAATTTGAAGGAGCGATGTTGTGAAATTGATCTGCCTAGGGTTACCGATTGAGGGATGAGTAAGAACAAATCCTACACTCTGATACCATGTTAGCATATATATGTATATGTAGATCATAAGAATGTGAGAAAGATGAAGTAATTTGATTAAAGGCTTTAAGCCCTTTTTGCTGTGAAAGTTTTGATACAGCTTACAGAGAAAGAAACGTTTAAAGATACATATACGAAGAGAATTAAACTAATGGGTATAAAATACATAAAGCTACCCTAAGCTATAAGGAATATACAAAACGGACCCCAAAGATACAAGATAACTAGAATATACACTAACATATACATTCATTTTAATTCTTCAAAAATTCATAAATTTTCGTTACAATTCTATTGAACCATTGCATGATCATTCAACCCCACACTCTCTCCCCTCTATATTATATTTACATTTATTCTATTAAATCCTCGTACAACTCCCATTATGGATGGTCTAAGAGCAAAGGTGGAATTTCTGATAGGGTGACACTCAATCTCATCTCTACACAATGAGACAATGTGGACACTCACGGAGGCAACTTGTTCTCGAGCTTAAGAAAGAAATGATTTCCGTAGGTACTATATAAGTGAAATGGTTCAGGTACATTTAGACAAAATGGGTTGTTAAAGATGTCAAAGGGTACATTAGTAGTTACTAGTTATGAAGGGATATAGAGAGTTGACTTTGTATGTGGTAAATAGGGGTGGAAATCGGTTTGGTTTACAGATTCTTTGGTTTTTTCAAATCAGTTTTCTCGGTTTGAAATATTTTTTGGTCTAATTCGAAAACCAAACCAAATCAAATTCAAATTCTCTAGATCAAACCGAAAACCAAATTCAAATTCGGTTTGGTTGAGTTTGAAAACCGAGGAAACCAAATATTAACTTAAAAAAAATAATGTTGCAATTTTCCAAACATAAATTAGAATTTTTTAACATAAAAACCTAAATTTGAAAACATAAAGATCTAAATTTTCATACAAAAATATCTAAGGTTTCATTAAACTGTTAAAATGGTATTACTACTATCTAAAATGATTTTTTTTTACTTTATAACTAATAATTTTATTTAATATATAAAATATTGATAATCCCAAAACGAAATGACATATGCGGAATAAGAATTAGGATTATGAATCAAACTATGAAATAAATAATATATTTTTTAATTAATTAATTTATGAAATTCGGTTTTTTCGGTTTGGTTTGGTTTGGTTTAAACTTTATGAGACCGAAGCTCGAATCAAAAACCAAATTCACAATCGGTTTGGTCTCAAACCAAACCAAAACTCGAATTTGAATATGGTTTGGTTTGAAATCGATTTCGGTTCGATTTGGTTTTCGGATTTTTCGGTTTATAACCAAATAATTCCCACCCCTAGTGGTAAAGGGTGAAACTATTTTTGGTTTGGTAGCTGTCTCTTGAGGTCAACCCGAAGATCACAAGATTGTGGCATATGATATTTGACCATTAAACATGACATATAACATATGTGAAAAAAACATGGTATTATTGAGTAACAGGTATTCCCGGCAACCATTAAACAACAAAGTTAAAGTTGTGTAAACATTGTGCTTATGGGAAGCAATATCGACTTATTTTTATAAAAAAGACACTCATTGAACTAAAAATATCCCTTGATTGGTTATATACGAAATATTGGGTCCTTATGAAACTTGCAGGTAACACAACTCACTTAACCATTAACCTGAAAACAAATAAAAAAAGGTTGAAATAATAAGATATTTCTTATCTATAGAGTCTAAATTACTTTCTACAAATAAAACATAATAACTATATGTAGTTTCTTTGGCCTCTTTCCCTTTCAAGTCAACCCTCTATCTGCATGCACACATAATTCTCACGTTCACAAGGTCATTTTGTCATGTTTTTTAGGAATAATGGTATTAGCAATTTCTTACCATCTCATCAAGAATCCTGTCAATTTTGAAGTTTAAAAGTGATCGCATTACACTCAAGATACTAACTTTAGCACTATATCTGAATTTCAGTTTTAGAATTCTTCAAAAGCTCATCAACATGATACTACATAAATAATTGTAAACCGATCTAAGTACTAAAACACAAAAGATAACACACACACACATAAAATTAATTAATGAATCCACACTTAAAAGAAAACATATATACATGATTCCATGTGCTCTTTTTAATTTTAATGGACCAAATGTCACTTACATATTTGAAATAGGTTTTGAATACATCGGAGTTTGATATCGTAGACCCTACACGGAAGAGCAATGATGATGTCTATGGTTTTCTCTTATTCTTCCCATACTCATCTTTACCCCTTTGATTTTGATTTATGCACCATTTTTCGTTCATGAATCCGTCTCCAACTGTTTGTGGCAAAAGATCTGAGCATTATTCTTCTTATACAAAAGGGAATTAAAAATAATAATAATAATAATAAGACCGATGAAGGTTTCACGTGGATGGAAATCATGAACATCTCTCTGAAGCGCTAGGGTTTTCTGTGAGAGTGCTAAAAACTGCAAGATTCCAA